CTCTATAACTGTTGATCAACAAGTTTCCACTTTGATTCTATGTGAAATTAGCATGTCTGTAGAGAATATATAGTTTTATATAATTGATACGAAACACTTGAAGCACCCAGCTACTTGTGCACTTGGGATTGTAATTGCCCCGCCATTTGATTCTTGTCATTGAAACGTTATAACAATTGAATTGTTGAGTTAATAAGCAGAATAATGATCATTATATGGAGTATTAAGGAAGCAGCTTATCAGCATATATCCGTTTAGGTGTGAAGTGCTCTGAGGTTTTTCCGAGTCTCGGAGCCCCCGAACGTGTGAAAATACTTCAGTTTCGGAGCCCTTTAGATATTTTTCTGTGATTTTGTTTCTTTGAATGAAATGCCAAGCCACAGAAAAAACAACAAAATCAGAGGTACTTGATTATAATTGTTTATTTTGATATGAATAGACCTGTTTCAAGGACATCGGAAAATGGTAGTAATAATTCTTTTTGGATATTGTTATCTTTTTTTTTTCATTCTGTTCCAAGGCAGATGCCTGTAAATTATGTGTTATCATTGAAAGAATGTTTTAGCATAAAAAAAAGTCAAGACCTTTTGAGTTTGTAAGAAATATGTTGCATGTGTAGTTTGGAGTTAATTTTAGAGCATATTAAATTTAAAAAAAAGTCTTTTAAGGCCACAAGAATGAATTTTTTTGGTTCAGTACTAACAAAATTAAGTAATTTTTCTTAGCAAGATAGTGTTTTCTATTATTAGACCAGGAATTTAGCAACAAATCATCCACAACAACAACAAAAAGTGAATAAATTAATTTAATTAATTAATTTATTAAAAGATAAATAAATAAGAAAATAAAAAGTGATTTTTTATTTTTATTAAAGTTAAGTGTTTTAATTTTAGATAATTATATTACTTAAAAAAATGTAATAGGTTAATAATTATAGAAATGCTAGTGTTATTGTGTGTTTTCATATAACCAAAGTCCTTAAGAATATTCGATATCCTGAAGACCAGAAAAGACAATGCATAGAATAGATTGAGGGTTTTGTTATCACTCTTAGGGTAAAAATTAGAATAATAGAATGTCAGCATTGTCAGAGATAACGTCAATGAGGGATCATGCATGCCTCAAAATATGGCAGCACAATTGTGAATATTCTTAGAAAAATTGCCAGCATTGTCTAACAGTGATTGGAAGAGATTTTTTTTTATCAAAATTGGATAATTGCTGTACTAATTGTATGCTAATTGGGCTGTCTGCTTTTTCTTCGCGGTTTTGTCAGTTATTTTGATGTCATGTGACCACAACTTTGATAACGACAGTAACTTGTCAGTTAAACAATCCTGTCAGGACAGAATAATTTGAACTTGCATCAAAAATTAAGTGGATTTTTGTTTTTTTAATGTGAAAAAAACTATCAAAACCAAAAATGATTTTTTGATTTTATGATAACTCAGCTATGCATTTTAATTGTCCTTCTGACTAAAACAGAATCATTAGACCTACCCAGGTAATTCATTTGTGCCTGGGATAATGCACTTTATAGTAAAGATATTTTAATATAAAAATTATAAGATTATCCTTTCTGTAGGAAAAACACTTGACAAATTTTCTTTTAAAATTAATCTTTATCCATTATTTTGGTTTTCTAAAAAAAAATGGAACAATGAAATTTTTCAACCATCTTTTTTCTCAATAGTAAGCAAAATTTTGGGAATTAAGTATAAATTTTTAAACAATTGAATCGTTCTTAATACAAGATAGAACAGCAAATCATGGTTTCTTAATACAAGATAGAACAGCAAAATGTGGTTTCTTATTACAAGATGGAACAGCAAAATGTGGTTTCTTAATACAAGACAGAACAGCAAATCATGGTTTCTTAATACAAGACAGAACAGCAAATCATTGTTTCTTAATACAAGATAGAACAGCAAATCATGGTTTCTTAATACAAGATAGAACAACACAATTTCTCTCTGGCCCTCAGATACAAGATAGATGCGTCTTTATTTTTCAACATTTTTTTTATGCCCCCACAAAGTGGGAGCATATAGCGTTGCACTTGTCCGTCCGTCCGACCGTACGTCTGTCCGTACGTCCCGAAATCTTGTGAACGCAACTTCTCTTAAACCGGATGGCAGATTTTGCTTAAACTTCCAGGGATGAACAACCTTAATGTGTAGATGGCAGTAAAGGAAGGAATTTTTGCTGCGACCAAATTTAACAGAATTATGGCCCTTTGTTGATTTTTTCACTATATACTATGTAGAAATTTTGTGAACGCAACTCCTCTTAAACCGGATGGCAGATTTTGCTTAAACTTCCAGGGATGAACAACCTTAATGTGTAGATGGTAGTAAAGGAAGGAATTTTTGCTGTGACCAAATTTAACAGAATTATGGCCCTTTGTTGATTTTTTTCACTATTTACCATATAGAATTTTTGTGAACGCAACTCCTCTTAAACCGGATGGCAGATTTTGCTTAAACTTCCAGGGATGAACAACCTTAATGTGTAGATGGAAGTAAAGGAAGGAATTTTCGCTGCGACCAAATTTAACAGAATTATGGCCCTTTGTTGATTTTTTCACTATATACCATATATGTTGTCAGTGGGGGCATCCGTGTCCTTTGGACACAGTTCTAGTTTTTTTGTATCTTCATTTCGTTATCATAATCAGCAAATTGTGTTTTCTTAATACAAAATAGAACAACACAATTTCTCTCTGGCCCTCAGATACAAGATAGATGCGTCTTTATTTTTCAACATTTTTTTTTTTGTATCTTCATTTCGTTATCATAATAAAATGAATATTTTAACAATATAATTGTAAAATGAGACAGGGAAGACGTAATTGAAATTCCCGAACAAAACCCTGTCAGTCTTGTGTGATTAACAGCATGACTTTTGAATTAACCTGTGCATTATTTAGGTGATAAAAATCTTTTATATTCATACCGATTGTCATATCTTTCTTTAAATTATACATTCATCACAGCTATTGTTAGCGCTGCAGTAAAGTATAATCGTTACGACAAGTGGGAAACAAGACGCTACCATATTGTCCTCCGCCCGAACACAAGGACCGTCTTGTACCCGCAAACAATCATCATTGTGTCACCGTTTCTGGTGTATAATTTCAATTATAACTTTGCCGATCCTTTTGTTAAGAAGAGGTGGTGCCGATTCAATTGTCAAAAAATGTTTTCTTTATGTTGTAATGAGAAATTTTTTTTTAATGAAATATAGCTTAGCTTATTGTCCCGATTGCATAATATGATGGTGCGAATCCTGATGTGAAAATTCGCAAAATTTGTAAAGGATAAATTTATATGATAATTTTTCGCTAGATTTCAATCTGGACCGAAATTCTGTTATTTCAACTCCGTGCTAATGTTGTTTCATCAAAGGCATAAAAGATGCTCTGTTAAACAAGTAATTTACAAAATTTGATAAAAAAATAAAAAAGTGAAAAAAAAAAAGAAGAAAAAAAGCAATTTAAAAAAAGAATGGTTTATTGTATGTTTTTTATTTAATAAGTATGACATAGAATACAGTGTCAATAATTGTTTAAAATATTTTTTGACAAAGAGTATTTTTTAATGAAGAAATCATAGGAAGTGTAAGTGGATAGATACACATGGTAAAGATGATCGGCTAGCATATCGGTTTCGCTCTTCCCTGAGATTGGCCTTGTTTAAATAATACATAATGTATGGGCTTTATGATCTTTTGTCCCCCTTTTAAAGTTGATCTTGTTTTTCAATTGTTTGCTATGATATATTGTTCTTTATTGCGAAAATAATTTTGAGGTGGGGACAGGGGGTTTGGAACACGATATTTTGTAGTGGGACTTTATTTTGATAGAAAATTTCATGATATCATGAAAAAAGAAGTTTAACTAAGATTATGAAATAATTATTTACATTAAAATTTTGACAGTTAAGATGAAATGAAATATATGTATCTTGCAAACTTTCATGGACTACATGTACATTATTAAATTATTACTATAAAAAATGTATACAGAAATCATGGTAAACAAAAGTCAGTAATAATACTTCACCACCAAATAGATTAAAATAACTACTAAATATGTATTTATCAGGGAAGATGAATAAATAAAGGGCTTTAACTCTAGTTTTTATTTTTCTGAAATTGCTGCCCATGTTTGTCTCTTTTTTTGTAATTTTCTGAATACTTGTGGTAGAAAATATGAATTTTATTCAACTTTTGTTATCAGTTGTAAAAATATGAATTACCTTTAAATATTTTTATGATTCCCAGGTAGTATATCACAATTCTATTTATTTATTTAAATCATCTTTGCATATAAAAACTAATAAGAATTTTTCTGCAAACGCCCAAAAAAAAAAAAAAAAAAAAAAAAAAAAAAACATCATTAAATTGTAGTTGCAGAAAAGGGGAAGTACTTTTAACAAAAAAAATCAAGAGGAATGTTTGTCACTATAGTTTCTAAAGCCACTGTTACCATCCTGTGCAGTTTATATATCTAAGGAAGATTTTTTTTTTATGAAAGTACCTAACCTCTTTAGGGAAGGTGAAATCCTTGAAGAGAGAACTTTTTTATGTTTTCGTAGATTATCTTGTATTGTGATCAAGTAGTGAAGTATTGTCCGCAGGAAGCAACGGCCTTACTGTATTGTTTAACTGTCTACTTATGTATTTTAGAGATTTAAATAGACGCTTAATTCAAAATGTAAATTTGTTTAAGTAAGATGACAATAGTGTTAAGTGCAGGCTTGTGAACTTTAATTTTTCGCTCTTTATTTGGAAAATAATTTGTTTAATATCATTATCGCAAGGCCGACCCAAACGTTGCTTGTAATCGAATATCGGCACAGACAATCAAAATAGGCCGCGGTTCTCGAGTCCGTGAATTAAATGTCGCAACAACAATCTATTATCGTCAACGTATACAACACAATTGTGAAAGCTTATGTTTACTCTCTGGAGTTTCTTGTTTCATATCTCGTCAGACCCTATCTCAATATTGATGACGAGAAATTAATGCTTCCTTAATACTCTGACAGTCTCTTTACCGTAGTTTGAAAAAATTGAAATATTATTGCACACTTAAATTGCAATTGTAGAAGTGTCATATAGCAGAGGGGAGTTTTTTTTCTCTCTTATGATTTATTGCTTCGATAGTATTAATTCTTGTTATTGAAAGTTTATCTTCTGCTTTCAAAATATAACAAATTTATGAAAGGATACTGATGGACTTGAATAAATTGTGCATTTTGTTAGTATATTGATGGAGGCCAGCTGATTATTAATTTTGGTTTATAAGAATAACTTTTCATACAGAACATTGGTGGTATAAATATCATTTTTACGGAGATTGATGAAATATTTTATGTGACTGTTATATTAAATATTATATTGACATTGTCAGGATTGTGTCGTCAAAAATCATGGAGGGTAAAGGTATGTTATATTATATTGTAAAATCATTTAAAATTATTGGTGATTTTAGTGGTGTTGTGCCTTGTTGTTGTTGTTGTTTTTATAGTTATGTTAAATATATGAAATAATGTTTCTATAAAAGCTGATCTAATTGGTGGAAAGGTATTGAGGGTGTTGGGCAATACGGAATCTGTTCTTTTTTTTGTAAAAGAGAGAATACGTTTCAAAGCTGGAGTATTGGTTTATGACACACTTATATTTAAACTTTTCCTTTGAGATGAACCACAAATCTCTATAATAAAGTATGTTTAAATGGCCATTTAATTGTCCTCGTAAAAATAAAGAAATTGAATATGACTTGATATAAATACCCTGTCCGCACTATTTTGACGGCTTAATTTTAATAATTTTTTTATAGACGTTTTATATTATAATATAGCAAACAAGTATCTCACAATTTTGTTTTAGTATTATTCATCTGTGATAACATTATTTTTCTAGATATGAAAACTCTTTGATGTCAGATATTATATTACTACAAGTAAATATATCTAATTTACATATATCGCCAGTAGATTGGATTTGAAATGAACAAAAAAAAATATATTTCAGACAAAAAATGAATTTATTTTGCCGAAAATGAGAAAATGCATAGAGAAAAAAAGTCAGCATCATTTTATTTCTAAGGTGGGTGAAAGTATTAAAAAATGTTATTGTAAGCGAGCCAGAATTCTTAAATGATCTCTATGTTTGAAGTGAGTTATAGACTACCTTAAGTTTTATTGCCGTTAAATTTTTGATATGAGACTGTCTTTTTATTTTATAGACTTTTGAATAAAGAAAGAGGCGTCTGAATCAAGTTTGGTGATTTTATGCCCATTTATATTGGCTTAATTTACTGACTGCTGTGAATGACTATTAAAGGACAATAACTTGCACCTTCTATAAAATAACATAAAAAAATATACGGGAGTTTAATATGATAATGATATTGTCAGGCTGTTTGTGGTTATACTTGAATCACTTCAGAATGCTTTAATACCTGATTTTCTTAATTTTAAAATAAAATGACTTATATCAGGAAATTAAAGACATTGAGTTGATTGAATCAGATACAGTATATTTTTGATATGGGATGTAATATATAGGTGAGTAAATATGAAACATTTTTATTTATTTATGTATTTTTCTTTTACAAAGTAATGATTAAAGAACTATAATGACAGAATACATATAATTCAATCTCAGTTAAATTTAGAAAAAAAAAATAAAAAACAATGACAAAAACAACACATTTCTCTTTTTGATCAGTTTTCTACTCAATAAATTAGTATACTAAATGTCCTGGTAGATTGACAATATACATAATCTTTATACAGTTCTTAAAATCTAATCTAAAATATTATCTTAATAGTAAAATATTGATATTAAAATTTATTAAAATATTAAATTAAAATCAAAATTTATCATAAAACAAGTAACAGAATCTGTTACAGATATATTTTATATTCATTTGAATATTTAAGGTATTAAGATATTATGAGACAGCATTGACCAACATAAAGTAATTATTTAGACTGTAAATATATGTTTTAAAAAGGCTGAATTTATGAAAAAAAAAGATTTTTTTTTATTTATTTAAGAAATATACTTACAAAGTTTTCACACTATTCGCTTTGTCATGTAAACAGTTTGTCAATTGTGTTCATTTTGGAGGTTGTTTATAGATGTGACACATTTGAGCGCTCGGTCGCGATGATTTACAGACCTATGTGACCAGTACTGAGGTAGTCCAGTCTATATTTCCGCTCAGTATTAAACCAGTCTGATTACAGTTAGGGCTACTTTATAAAAGCATGATATTAATAATTAACACACCTTAAAACAATAATTGACTGTTTCAAATATAAAACAGAGCAAAGCTGTGAAACAAATTCAAAAAAGGTTAATTTATCTGTCTAAGGCAGCTTTTTCAAAAATGTATTTATCAGAGTGATTCCCCTTTGCCTGTATGGAAGATCTATCATTGAAAATTCTTCCCTATAAATCATTGAGATAAGATCAAAATGTATATACTTGACTTTTTTTTTGCCTATTACAAATCTTCCCGTACCTTTTCATAATTAATCATCAGAAACAACAAAATTATTATTATAGGAGATTATAAAGCCAGCAGGAGCTTTCCTTTATGAAGCGATGGACACAGAATTAAAGGAGAAGGCCGCCTTTTTAATCAACGATTGACTGATAATAGGAAACTTGAACAAGATCATATAAAAATCCTTCTCTTTTGAATCATATATGAATATCAGTAGCAGTAAGATTTCTAAGTGAAAACAGTTGCTTCAAATATGATCGATTAGAGATATGTGACAATATAATATACGTTTATTGCGGGCTGTTATACTAGCTGTATTTTCTTTTTGAAGGGTGATTAGAAGATTAATTTTTTGTCGAAATTAGTCGAGGTACTAGGGTACATTTCATAAGCGTCCGATTGATGTTGAATAATTCCGTATTAATGAGCGTTCGCATTGCAGAAGATCATTTGCACGGGGAGCAGGTGCCTGAGTCATTACAGCTCGTAAAGTTCCGAAATAAATTTTATAATGAATATTATACCTACAGGCCATTGTATTATTTCTCCCCCTATACAAAATATATACTAAAAGAGAGATGAGGGGGAAAAACCGAAACTTTTGTTCCTATTTGTTGTTTACAATGCTTGTTTTTATCATCATCAAAATAATCATAGTGCACCTGATTGTTGTTATCTGTAGACATTGTACTAGGATTGTAAATATTGCAAAAAAAAATCGTCTTTTTTTTTACAATGTGATAATAAACGATAATTCTGATTATGTTTGCGTATTGTTTATCACGAAAGAACACAGTCATAAGAAATGTTGTAAATTTTACAAATCTGTAAATCTTAAGAATAATTTTAATTTTTTTGGCATTTATTTAGATTTTATGAAAAATAACAAAAAATATCTACTTAAGTCTACATTAATTAAAGCAGCATGCCTCCAGATTCATGCTAATTTTCATGGAAATTTTTTTAAATGTGTTAAAAATTAAATTATTATAAACAAAGAAAGTAATTTACACATTAAAAATGGCATTTAACATCTACAAAAAATAGGTCAGAATATGCAAAAATAGCCCTTCCTGTGTTAGTAACTCAGTAGAAAAATGATGATTAATACAGCAAAATCAGTCATTAATTGAATATAACATGGATTACTTGTGAATGTGAATATTTTTTCTTTTCTTTACAACTTAGTACATTTTTCTCGAGTTTGATTTTTCTTGAAATATTTTTGGCTCATCTGGAGGCATGCAGCTTTAATATTACATTTAATTTATTCAATTTATTATTACATTATTATTTATTTAATATTACATGCACATTACATGATTTCTATCATCGTCAGATACTCGGTTTACAAAGAAACTATCTGCATGTGTATAGATTTATATAACAATAAAAAAAATGAATGAAATACAATAATGATTAAAGTATGTCAGTGTGTTTAGATATGTATCAAGTTTGATAATTAATGATTTAACAATACAATCAGATTATAAGATAAACAGTTTATCAAGTGATAACAACTGATAAACATAAATGTGACAAATGTAAACATGCATGTAAACATATTGTTCTTGATAAATACAAATATTACAAACTCTCGCTGATTAAACATTTTAAAGGAAACTTAAGTAAAAGAAAATGTCAAAATTGTTTTACTTTTGTAGGTTAAAATCTTTTCTTTTTTTAATAATATCCACAGGTTTAGGCTTCATATCTAAGATTATAAGAAAAGCAAAGGAAATAATTATGACATTTATGACTATATGCTAGAAAAAATTGAAGAAAAAAAAGAAATTTTCAACAATTTGGCATAATTTCATTCTCTTTGCCTTAATTTGTCAAACTGGGTCTTTACATTTTATTTGAAAAATGGTTTTGAAATGATTTCCTGATTTTTGTTCCTACCATTATAAACAGTTTTAAGCAACCAAACAATAATCACCCTTGCCCATATTTAAAATTAACAAAAAAAAAAAAAAACAACCAAAAAAACATTGTTAAAAACAATTTAAGAAAGTAAAATAAAACATCGGCCAGCATCTTCTATAGGATAAGATGGTCAGTTCAGTATTTTCAATACCTAAAGGACTTAAAACATTATATTATAGCTAATCACTAGAAGGTGTTCTAAACATTGTTATTTATCATTCATATTTGTTCATTTCACGCAAAACCGAAAGTAATAATAATAACGAGAAAATGGTGATATGATGATAAAGGAACTAGAACAAAACACTTGAAATATTATATCGCTAGAAACAGTGAATTTTATCTATTGTTATATCAACACTATATCAGTCATTATTAAGGCATTGTTCACTTAGTCAAAATGAACCCTTTAAATGAAGTGCTTGTTGACAGAGAAATGGAGTCGGCTCCAGTCATGGTAATGCTATTTTTATACTCTTTTTCTAGGTCTTAAAATCGTTTACTTTAAAGATTTTGTTTAATATTTCTCTTTTTTCATTGTTATAATTTGTTTTTGTTATTTTTTGTTGTTTTCGTTTTGTTATATTGTTGCTTTTCATTGTTTTTAATTCTGTCATGTTTTATTTCTCACTGTGACTTATACTAGAGTGAATACAGCTAAAAGAAGACTATCAACCTTCCCCTTCTCACTCCTTTACTTACTTTATCTACATTCAAGTTCTGAGTGTTGATACCTAATTGCTTGAAAATTGTATGGTTAAAAAGTGAGGTTTTTATACTTTGCCACAAGGTTGTACCACTTCCCAGTTATAATGCTTTAACGCTTTTGATTGGGTCTTAGCTTTCCCACAAAAAATCTTAGCAAAAATATGCAAGAATGTGTAAAAGGTGCAATATCTGTAAAATGCTAGTTTACTGTGTCTTACTGCTTTGATTACATTACAATTAGCTTAAATTTTAAGCTGTGACACTCAAATACCAAATTTTTTTTTCG